AACAGTGAATCCTCCTTTGTTCCTTTCCTTTTACTGTATTTCCTGTCATGTTGGCCAAAATTAAATAATTTCAGGTACTTCGTTCATATAAAAACAAAATGGATTTCTTAGTGTTAATGCAGTCTTTGTTGTTGTATCTATATGTACAAAACTGAACAATTAGTAGAAGAAAATATATGGATAAAAGAATAGAGACATAGAGGTTCTACATTTCTTAAAGCTGTTGTAGAACATTCTAGCCCAAAGGTGGGTATCTGGTAGCCCTCCATATACTCTAGATCTGCATCTCCAGTCATCTTGACTATTGGCTAAAACTGATGGGAGTTGCAGTTGAAAACATCTGGAGCACTCTAGTTGCTTGTCCCAGATCATAACATCCTGTTATTTTGTTCTGTGATTGTTGGAAGGACTTTACAAAATGCTTTTTAAAGTATTTAATGTTTGTAATGAGACTGCAGTAGTTTCTAGTTGTGATTTTGGAACAGAACACCCGTGAGGTTATACGTCAGCTATGTCTGGGAGATGCTAATCAAGTCTTTTGTTTAGTTTTCTTAGCTGTCGAGCAATTCCACTGAGGACTCCCTCCAAACCACCAAGCTATTCTGTTCTTTCCAAAACCATCCTGTGGTCACTGCTATTTTGTATGCTGCTGTGCAGATCTTTTCTTGATATCATATGAGAATGGGTGGGGATCTGGGAGCTCCCTCCTGTTTAGAAGAACCACCATGAAATGTGGATATTTTTTTCCTCCTAATTTTTCTGGTTAACAAAGATAATTTGCAATTATTGGGCGACACTGTGGCTCAGTGGCAGACCACATGTCTTGCCTGCAGACATTTGTGGTTCAATTTCTGGTGCCCACTTCAAATCTCTTTTTGAAATGCTAAAGGTCTCTTACTAGTCAGAGAATACAATGGTACTTAGATGGACTAATATGCATTTCCTGTCTTCTGAAAGACAAGTTATGGTAGTTTGGTGCATTTGCAGAATTACCTTTCATGTCTTCTACAATACATTGAATTGGTTGTAGGTAGCAAGGGATCTGGTTTGGGATTTAATATAATGTTAAGACGTCAACAGAGAATTTTATATGGTTGTTCCAATACTCTTCTTGATCCACAAGGAATTGGAAATGGACTACAAAATTATATGATCTTCCCTCCTGTCATGCTTAATTAATGGTGGGAATTTCATCAGCATGGTTAACCATGGTTGAGCTAACTTGGATTAGCTACATCAGTTAAAACGACTGGGTAAAAAACAGCTTCTCTCCCATAGAGTTTGTTAACTGAGTTTTGCCTACACTGATATAGTAATGCTCAGTCCTGTGGTTTTAACTGTTAATTAACATTTCATGCAGTTGTAAAGCTTAAGTTATTTCCTTCTTTGTACTTGTGCTTGAATGCAATTTTGTGGTTTTGTTTTTCATTGTCAGGTCAGTTCTACTGAGATGCTCTCTTTGTATCCTAGTGTCAGCTGTCAGAGAGAGTGGTTATCATTCTTGAAATTATATGAAATATTGATCATATAACTGCAGTACTGATTAGATTTCTGTCCAAGCCAGGGTTCCTCAAACTTTTTAAACAGAGGGCCTCAGACTGTTTGGGTGGGGGGCAGACTATAGTTTGAAAAAAGCATGAACGAATTTCTATGCACAATGCACATATCTTATTTGTAGTGCAAAAAACCCATTAAAATACAATATTTAAAATGAAGAACAATTTTAATAGACATAAACTTACCAGTACTTCAATGGGAAGTGAGGGCCTGCTTTTGGCTGATGAAATACTCATTAATTAGGATTGTTGTTGTTGTTGTGTGCCTTCAAGTTGTTTCAGAGTTAAAGTGTAAAGAAACCAGAATGGATCTCCAAAGAACTTTTAACTGAGCTAAGATTGAAAAGAGACATGCAAACGAAATGAAAAAGGGAGAAAATCACCAAAGAGGAATGTAAACAACCAACATGTGTAGGGAAAAGGTTCATCAGGCTAATGTACAGAATGAGCTTAGGCTTGCAAGAGAGATTAAAACCAATAAAAGGGGGTTCTTTGGCTATGTCAGTAGAAAAAAGAAAGAACAAGGAAACAGTGACTGTGTGAATGGTTTCTGTCGATCATTCATGCACTTCTTGAGAATATTCCCCCTTTCCATGAGATGTTTGACTATCCTGTGTCTGTTCTCCTGATTGTCAACATTTTCATTGAGCATAATTACTTTTTTTTAGTTGTATGTATTCTTTGTCTTTTTTCCTAATCAATTTCTTGTACATTTGAATACTTTGGGGTTCCCCCAAGTTTTCTGTTGTTGTTGTTCTTGTTGCTGCTGTCATTGTTGTTTTGGAGAGCCAGCATTATGTAGTGCTTTGTGCATTGAATTATAACTCTGGAGTGCAGAGTTCAAATTCCCATTCTGAAATGGGTGAACCTTGATTAAGCCACACACTCTCAACCTTAGAAGAAGGCAGAGACTGGCCTCCTGTGAACAACACTTGCCAGGAAAACTACATGATAGGTTTGCTTTAAGGTCAGAATCAGAAATGATTCAAAGGCATACCACAAGTCACAACAGTCACTTCTCAATGTTGGAAACAAAGGGAATGAGGTAAAGCTGTAAGTTAGATTAAATACTTTCTTATTGCAATTAATTGGGTGTAGGCTAACATTTGAATCAGTGTAGAATGCCTTCTGTCTCAGAAGTCATCACTCCTTAGAACATATTACCTACTTTTTTGGGGAGGAGAGAATGAAATATTCTCTTCTGTTGTTTGCAGCTCTTTGGAATGAAGTGACTGGATGGATCTCAACTTGCAATTGGATTTGTGCTCATATATAGGCAATTGTGGGGGTGGGTTTGATGTATTTATAGTATATCCTACAGTTTAGGAAGTTTAAATTTACTAAAATGGAATGGGTCACACTGATTCTTTATAAATATTTGGCTAATTTAAGAGATGTTATGCCAAGGCATGTCCCTGGAGGTTGTTATCTTAAGTTCTGTTTTGATTAAAAAGTCTTGTTTAAAATGCTGGAATCCCTTGGACAGAACAGTTCGTGTTCTTTTTTCGGCATATACTTCTTTCAGTTCTGGAATAATAAGAACACAGAGTTAGATATGTACATTTCTATTCTGTATAAGCGATAATTGCAGGTAGTACTTGATATCTCATTGTCAAAAATGGCCTTTGCCAAGGACCACTTTTAACTAACTTAAAAGCTCTGATGATGACCACAATAGGTGATCAAATTTTTGAACTTCCCCACCCTTCTCTTGAAGGAGAGTTCTGGCAAACTCAGAAGTTTGCCATGTTTTGAATATTTTATGATCCCAAAGTACTAACATCAACATGAATATTGATTCTACCCAAGGACTGGATAGCTGCGTTTTGTGTAGTGTTTATCTGCTATTGAAAAATATCATGATTTGCCTTTCAAGGCAAGATCAGCCAATAGAAGAATTTACCATCCCCCCTAAAGGAGACTGCATTTCAATGATGTTTTTGATAATAGTGTCTTTCCAATGAAATCACATTATATATTGGATGGTTCCCTTTTTTAGTTTTGTGTCAACATTTAGTCACACAGTGCCTTTATCTTTAATATAGAAGAGATAATATTTTGTAAAGACACACCATGAGGCTTTTAAAAAATGCAGCTACTCTAATATAATGTGAAGATTCTGGATAGTGTTTTGGATACCTTCTCAGTTCATCAGACTACTGTATGTATCTTAAATTTGGTTCTTCTTGTTGGTGTTTTATTTCAGCGTGGAGCATTTTGCTGTGAAGAATTGATCCTTCTATTCTTATTTATTTCATTTATATTTCCATTTGTAAATATTAATAAACTGCTTTGATCTCCAGTGTAGAACAACAATGAAACATAGAAACCTACCTCCAGTTCTTCAATGGTAGAATAGAAAGCCCCATTTGCTCAACTTTGCTGGGTTGCTTCCTGTGAAGGATAGGATGCCAGCCTGTGCAGATGCTTGGTGGTTACAATGATGTGATTTTTCTCCTATGAAGAAGTTACAAAAACAGAGTTTCTGTGCGACTTTCATTCAAGCATTTCTTCCTCCTTTCCTTCCTAAAAGGCTTTTATAATAAGTCCTAAAAACTGATTTCTAAAGAAAGAAAACCTACAATCTTTAACCGGATGGAGAGATTCTGACCACTATGCACTTTAAAACCTCTCTACTACTAACTGTCCTCTCCCACACACTCTTTCTCTTAAAGAGAGTCTCTTTCCAAGTTACTATGTGTTGAAAAGTACAGGGGGGCCTTGCTACCCATTTAAAAAGATAATGCAGCCTGAAAAAGAGCCAAGGGCTGGAAAAACAGCATCAGTGAGCCACAGACTGCATTTTGCCTATTCGAATTCAGAGACAGGGGTTTATCCCACCAATCCTAACAACTCAGATGAATGTTGGAGAGAGCCTGAGGATCAATTAAATTGTGAGGCCCTCTAGCCCTAAAACAGAGGGGAAGAGGAGCATGGGAAGCTCTCCCGTGTTGGCCAGTGGATGAAAATTTTCGTTCATTTGGATGAAAGAATGAAACAGCTCATTGGGAAAGGCCCTGTTTTTGGAAGCAGCACTCAAAAACAAAAACAGCAATACAAATGAAACAAACAGAAATGGATAGCAATTCTATACAGAAGCACAAGACTAATGAATACCAACCTTCTGCACATTTTGAAAGAGTACAAGTCCTTACACAAAGTGTTGTGGAAGGTAAATTACCTAGGTGTATTCAAGCCTTCAAGCAGTGGCCTTCTCTGAAATACTGTACATAGCTATGTTCAAATATGTGTTAAAATGTTGAACCCCCCCTCCCCCCCCAAGAGGCTATGAGTTCTATTCTCTGTGATATGTTTTACCAGTAAGAAACATTGGAAATAAACTAAGTTCACAGCAGACATAGTTCATATACTTCATATATTTTATAGTTATCAAAATATATGAATTTTATGTACACTCTAATTTTTTTGTAATGGTCTCCATAGGATCCTGTGAGGAAGATTCCTGACTCACATGAAATTACACTGAATCATGGAACTAAAACAGTAAGCATTTTAATGTCTCACAATTGTGCAGCATTGTGATAAAAGCCTGTTTGTTGTTGTTACTTACTAAATTTAACACAGGTAGCAAGTATGATTCTTATACATTATTTGGAAGCCATATTCTGGAGTATTCAGAACATCAGTAAAAATCAAATCTTGTAGGGAGAGGCTAAAGGAACTGGGCATGGTGAGCCTGGAGCAGGGAAGACTGGAATGTCATAGTACTTTTAAAATAAATCATATCCTCTTACAATGACAAAATCTTCATCATTCAACAGAATTGCTGAAATATACTCATAACTAAATTATAGCTCTGAAATTCAACGAGCCTGTTCTGTTACCAAGTTGATTCTAAATTGATTCCAAAGGACAAGACTAGATATAATGAGCATCTGTTAAAGGAGAAACAGATTTCAATTGAACATAAGGAGAAATGTCGTGGTGCCAGAGATGTTGAATAGTGAAACCACTTTGCTAGCAGGGTAATGGATTCCCACTTGCTGGAAGTCTTCAAACAGACCCTGAACAACAATACATTTATTGTGGTGGCTCTACTTCTGAGATTTTTGGATGAAGTTGAAGATTAGCCTTGAAGTGCCTTTCAAATTCTCTAAGTCAATAATTATATGAATTTAAGGAACTAAACCATCATCCAGTCAAAAGAGATTTGATTTTTATAAGGACTGCTCATAATGCCTTTCTGTGTAGCCTGGGAAACCACAAATAGCTAGATGCCATTCGTCTGAGAAAAAAACAACTTTATCATTATTTTATTTTGGGCTATCAGTTTTTGCTAAATTGACAAAATGGGTAAGTTAATGCCACAAGGAGTTTTCCACTTAAAATAGAGAATGAGAAATATGACCACTCTTTATTTGTTCAGGGGGCAGCAATGCCCATGGGAACAGAAAAGTAGGTGCAGTCATTGAAAGAGACCTTCAAGTAGTAATTTATGGAAAGGCTAAAGAAGAAGATGTCATGGTAAAGGCATAATAGGAAATTAAAACAATGCAGAACAAAGCCACGGAGAACTTCAGAGGTAGGGCAAAGAATTTGATCTAGCTATGGAATGAAAAGCCACTTAATTCTCTGCTTTGAGTCCTTCATTATACATGGATTCTTGCAATAGTGTGAAACTGTGTGATAGACAAGTAGTTTATGTCCACTGCAGGTTAGTTTCATTGCTCACCAATAGTTAAATATTTGTGTATTTATGTATGTATGTATTTATTTATTTATAGTGTTTAGATTCCTCCCTTCTCACCCCAAAGGCAAACATTCAATGTTGTTATACACTGACAAGACAGGCAACAGTGCAGATAGAGGTATATAGGCTTTTCTCATCTTTCGGCATCTTGGAGGTTGTGCTCGATTCCGGCCATGGGAGGAGGGGGGTGCTGTTGCTCCATCCTCCATGCCAAAGAGCCCTGTTCACAGGCTTCCTCCTTTTGATCACCGGCATTTCCTGGTATTTCCTTATGGTGCCATTAAAACACTCCCTGCTAAGTGGTACCTATTTATCTACTCACAGCTGTTTTCGATCTGCTAGATGGGCAGTGAGCTCGGCTGAAGGTCAAGCGCTCACCCCTGGGCTTCGAACTGCCAACCTTTTGATTGACAAGATTTATTGCAGCTGGTGGTTAACCTGCTGTGCTAAAGCCCGGCCTGAAGTTGCCAAACAGTGATTTGAGAATAGTAGAATTTTGCGGGAGGGGCACCCTGTGTTTGGATGGAAAATTTTGATCTGATCTTAATGTTAAATATATATCACCTAAACCTCAGATTTGCATCCTTCATACTGAGCAATAAAAGAGATACAGATAGTTGTCTGTGGCATAGTTCACCATTTCTTGACAGCCAAACCATGTTTCTTATGCTAACTGCTTCTGCCCTCCACTTCTGAGACATTCTCTCCAGAGACAACCTATCAAGCGCCCACATCTCCCTTTGGCCATCTCTCCTGCTTTTGTGTAAGGTCAGGTCACTTAGAATCCCATCTGTAGCTCTTCAAACTAATGAATTTAAGCTGTTGATGTCTGTGTTCCTGTGCAGCTGAGAAATATCAGAACAGTTTTCCCTCATTGAAGATCCTTTCCAGAAACCTAATTAATTTCCCAGTTGCCTTTCCTGTAACAAGAGTGGTTTTCCCAATGAAACTGCAGGGATAAATTTTCTCCTGACAGCTTTGACATGTAGGTGAGCAGTGGAAAGTGTTACATAATCAACCAAGTGTCATGTTTTCTGTATTCACAATTTACAGCTGCTTCAGCTGTATGCACAGCAACTGTCTAATGTGATTTTTTTTCTCCTGCTGTGAAATTAAGTGTAGTGCAATTCATCTATAACAGTCTGGTTTGCAAACTCATTTTGTGTCACCAGAGTATAAGCAGGATAGTACTGTCCTTGGAAATAGTAGTGGAGCATTGAAGACTGTTGTTATTTTCTTCAAAAGAAAAGCTCATTGAATAATTCAAAAAGAAAATGTCAGTATTTTGTTCAAAAGAAAATGTAAGGCCCAGTGATACAAGAAATTTGCATTGAGTTCAGTTGTGTATTCTCAACTAATCTGTGCATGTATAGTATTAAACACAGCCATAGCTTAGAACAGGAGGTGTAGAAATGCCTCCCATAGAGTTACCCAGCTGTGTTGCACCTTCTCCAGCTCATTTACACAGAGGTCTTTTATCTTCTAAGCATGAGTAGCCCATAAACATGACTCATGGGAGACTGGATGTTCTTACAATTCACAGCTAAATTGAAAAATCATATATAGTTAAGCTACTCTTTACTAAGCATTCACATTGCTTTTTTGTCTTTCTACAACTGTCTATCTACCCATTAATAGCTTTTGTATTGTTTTCTACTTTTCAATTGTTTTGGAAATATATATGTGTGTACCCCCCCCCCCCCCCCCCCCCCGCCCCCGGTGGCACAGTGGATTAAACCGCTGAGCTGGTAAACTTGCTGACCGAAAGATTGGTGGTTCGAATCTGGGGAGCAGGGTTAGCTCCCGCTGTTAGCCTCAGCTTCTATCAACCTAACAGTTCGAACATATGGAAATGTGAGTAGATCAATAGGTACCGCTCCAGCGGGAAGGTAACGGTGCTCCATGCAGTCATACCGGCCACATGACCATGAAAGCATCTACGGACAACGCTGGCTCTTCAGCTTAGAAAGGGAGATGAGCACCACCCTCCAGTCAGACATGACTAGATTTAATGTCAAGGGGAAACCTTTAGGGGACTTTAGGCTTTATAGAAGAATGGATTAAAATGTAGTCATTTTGACAAAAATGTCACTTAAATTAAAAAAAGGAATTTGAAATGGAACTAGAAAAGTTAAATGCATCTACTGAAAGATTTTTGCAAATAGAAGAATTTAAATGGATCACTTCTCAGAGGGTCATATTAAGAGTTTGTTTCTTGTGTAGGTATCTGCATTAGGACTGGATCCTTCAGGTGCCCGTTTGATAACTGGCGGCTATGACTATGATGTTAGATTTTGGGATTTTGCTGGAATGGATGCATCACTTCAAGCTTTTCGATCTCTGCAACCATGTGAATGGTATGTCCTCACATTCTCCCTTAACTATTAATCACTTTCAGTGCTACATTGCTTACTAGCCCCCTGTAACCTTGTGTTTTGGTGATAAAAGGGTCTGATCATTTGTGAAAGTATTTCAGATGATAAGACCAAACCTGTGTGCATGAATTGCCATTTTGTTTTCACGTGCCATCTTCCTTCTGTCTTTTTACAGAATATGGAATATTAAAATGGCATCTTAAATGGCATCAGGGCAGGTGTTGAATAAAGCAAATTTCATGAAAGAGTTCTAACAATTCAGAATACCTACAGTACCTTGGATCATAGTGATGTTGGTGCTAACAGAATGTGAAGCACTACTGCTTCGATTTAAACATTAACCTTGAACTGCTTAGTCGTGAATTGACTGGAGATGAATCCCATGATAGAATGCCATTGTAGGGATAGTTTTCAGTGGAAAGGCAGGGAACAGAAAAGAAAGATGACCATGTGCAGTGAAAATGGATTAAAGTGCCCCTTCCAAGAACTACTTAACTCGAATATTTCAAACAGATGAAAGTGTAGCAGCCCAAGGAATTTCAGCTTTAAGAGGAAAGCCTGCGTTAGATTGTTTTGTATTTGATTGCTGAGTATATTTTGAGATTGGTATTGCTGTTCTCATAGCTGTCAACTTAAGTTTGAAGAGGTGCCAGTGGAGATTTCAGATCCGGTCCTGCTTGGCCCAGTACATCTTGCCTGCCATTTACTAAGTATCTCTCTATTTCTCATGACCTTAAAAATCTTTATTGCTTTATTCACCAATAAATGTAGATATTAAATAGGAAGTATCTTAATATATTAGCCTTTTTTGTAAAAAGAGAAATATTTTAATAGCTGTGGTTTTTATAAATATAATAAAAGTTCAGAACATGCATTTAACCATTTGTGATAACTGCTGGTTATTTATTTATTTACAACATTTCTACCCTACCCTTCTCAACCCCCGAGGGAGGACTCAGAGCGGCTTATATCACAATATAACAGTAATATAAAACAGTAATATAAATAAAACAATAGATTAAAAACAGTAAAACATCAATTATCACAATCATGATTAGTGGAAAGGGTCTCCTTTGAAAATATTTCAGAAAATCTGGTTCATTCAATACTTCTATTGACAACAGGGATCATATCACTTGTAAGTGCACTGTCTATTCTGGCCTGCCTGTAAAGATTACTGTTTCTGGGTCGAATTTACAATGCTGGGTTTTATCCCTGGGAAGCTTTCTATACATTGGAGCCCTTTATACTTAATCGAATAAATTTCCCATCACAAACTTGTCCATATGTCCATCTTTTAGGTTGTTGCCCCCTATTATAGCATGCTCTCCCTAGTGAACTGTAACTTCTCCCAACATTGTCTTCTTCCCTGTACCAGAGTAAGATATTTTTCTGCTGCCAGGCACTTTATGGGATATGACTCTGAAGCCAACTGGGATTCATAAACCAAAAACCATCCCAGTTTGTAATCCTAATTTGTAAGGGGCAAAAAATACCACCATCTTATTAAACATGCAAAACAAGTTATTTCTGGTCTTTAGTCATTCATACGTACAAGAGGAACCAAGAGATAATCATTAGGCTGTGTGCACCAGTGTGCAACTGTGTATTGAATCCTAACTTACAGTCCTATGAAGACTCAGACAAATGCTCTCATTAGGTGTAACTAGTTCACCAGATGCCTTCAGAAAAAAGCTGGCTGAGTTACTGTTGTTGTAGGAAACCGTAGGCATTTTTGGAGACATTTTTATAAGGAAAATTGGAGAAGTATAGGAAGAGCACATTGCACTACTATCAGCTTTCATGTAAAATTCTCAAGGTGTTTGCTGAACTGACTGACACCATCCCTCTCTTCTTTTCGTAAGAGCTTGAAGACTTGGTGGTTTCACCAGGCCTTTGAGAGTGACTAGCAAGAATTCCAGCCCTTGGTCACTAGCTAGAATCTGGCCCTTAACAACCCCCCCTCCCAATTACCCTGGTCAGTCCTCCAATAGGCTCAGGAAATGAGCATCCACAGGTTGCATCCACTGTTGTTGGGACTGGTTATTGCACTTTACCCATTCCCCTGGCCCCTCATGTCTTACTTGCATTAGCTCAGGCACGGCTACCTGCCTAGGCCCTTTCTGAAATTCCGGCAATGAAAGAAAAAGGGGGACTGATTTTATTTTATATGTGTTGTGCTGATAATTTTATGCTTATGTTTTGCTTACTCTGTATGCTGTGTGTTTTTGTGATTGGAAATCACACTGAGTACCCTAAGGGAGATAGAGCGGTATATAAAGTTTTATTATATTGTATTATTATTAACTGTATAGTTTTTAGGGAAAGAACAGTTTGGTTACTTTGTAGAAATGGTGAACTTTTTGAAAGCAAAAGCACCAAAATTATTTTCCATTTGCCAAAAACATGATGATGATGATGATGATGATGATGGTGATGATAAATAAATTTTAATTGTACCCCACTACCATCTCCCCGAAGGGACTCGGGGCAGCTAACAAAAGACAGCGAAGTGCCGCATATAGACAATACACAAATCTAAAACAATAAAATCAGAGTGACATGTTTGCAGTCTTAGTGCTTAATATAAGATGGAAATGTGTTTTTTCATTTAAAATAGTAAGAGTAAAACTTACAATGCACTGTAATATAGCTAAAATTAATTTAGACTTGGTTCTGGGTTTTATTCTTTTATTTAATTCTGCAAAACTAAAAATAATTGTTTAAGCATAAATGTTTTATTTAATATATGTAGCTTTTTAAAGGAAGAATGTGGTCCAGATAAATTATATCTCTTTCTTTTGAAGTCGCATCACTCACTCACTCACTCACTCAGTCTCACTGCCCCTCGCCTCCACCTCATTTATATTTGGCTGCAACAGCAACAGCAGAATTGAGATGGCTGCATTTGATTCGTGTTTCTGCATCAGAAAAGTTCTCTAAGAGTAGTTGATGTTGTAAATGTTCTCTCTCGTTCTTGGCCCAATGTTGACTTTTGTATTTTGGCAGTCTTGATTTTGCACACTCGTCACTATCTCTCCTGAAATTTCCCATGTCCCCTGGCACAAGAATAATAATAACGGGAAAACCTTGCATTTAGAAGTTCAAAAGTGCCAGTTTGGGATCCTATTTGAACATTTGTTTTGTTGATGAGATTGAGAATTATATTTTGGCCTGCTTTTACTTTCCCTTGTGCAGTCCCTTTACTTTTATCACTGTATCCATGACAAATATACCAGTTTGACTCTCCTATTCCCTAGTATTCACATAATCTATCTCCAGCAATTTCAGTATTATGAAAATCCTATCATCAAATAACCAGAGAATTTCACAGGACGGAAATGATCTCCAGTGTCTCAGGACATAAATACAGTATTTTAAGATACAAGATATTTCTTGCAGAATGAATAATTTACAGTGTTTCTCCTTGCACATATTTATTTCAGAGGGAATGCAGTCTCGTTCAGGATAGGTTGTAATCCAAACCCCAGTTTAGATTTCTTTTTGGCCAACATAAATGTTATCTTGTTTGAGCTGAGCCTAAATTCATTCACTCATATCCATTCCTTCACTATATTCAATCTCTTTAGCATCATTTCTGAAAGAATACAGGTTCGAGTAGAATCAAGCAATTCGATCTGCAAAGTTGTAAGCAAGTTCTCCACAGTGGGCTGTTGAGTGATTTGCATTTTACTTTATTGGGACTGTGTGTAAAAGACTCCTGACCACTTCTTTTAAAAAATATTGTCTCTGGGCTAGCAAGAATATTTTATACCCTTTTCCCCTTTTAAATTGACTCTTGGATTATCACCCCAAGCTTCAAATCAAATTATACTGTGCACAGATATTAATAGTATTTAAGTAACAATCTGTTTTGTGCAATGTGTCACAGATAAAGTAGCAATAACTACATATCATATTGCTGTTAATTAGCATGATTAATGTACCTTGTAAGTATATTTTGCCATTTATTTATATAATTTTTTCGATGCTGTATTTTTAAAAGGAACTCTTTCTTTTCTGCTAAGCAAGTAGTGATAAATGTTAATATATTTTCTAATTTTTTTAAAAAAATACTGTAGTACCTGTCCTTTAAACAATTGTATTATTGACAACCATACTCCCTATTTGTTTTTCAGTCATCAGATAAAGTCTCTGCAATACAGCAGTACAGGAGATGTCATTCTTGTTGTTGCGGGTAATGCACAAGCTAAAGTTCTTGACAGAGATGGCTTTCCTGTAATGGAGTGTGTTAAAGGAGACCAGTATATTGTAGACATGGCTAACACCAAGGTAAGTCAAGAAATGTCTCACTTGAGTAATGTCTTCATGAGCCATTTTCCTGTTTTCACTGAAAGCCGAGGAAAGACAAACTAGATGCCAATTGCTGGTTCTAGTGGTATGGGCAACCCTAGGGACCCACTCAAAACACATCATTGTTTGCCTTACAGTTGATCTATAAATTAGAGCTTCCTTTTTTTTTCTCTTTGTTGCTCCCAGGGGTGTGAAAGGGGTCACATGTCACAAAGGAGAAGTCATCCTCTGCCCGATGTTTTGTTAGTGATGGAAAGAAGAGAAGCTTATAAAGAAAATGTTCCAAAAAATGTAAAGTCAGTCAGAATAATGATATAGAAAGTAGTCATGGGCTTGGTTACCATCTCACCCATTTAATTCGTGTTTTCTTACCATTTTGTTTATTTGGAATGCACAAAACGGCACACCCCCCTCTGTCACGGAAATATCAGTGAAACGAAAGTGGAAACAGTAACTGTTTGGTTAACTGATTTTCGGCGTTTGGTGCAATAGGCTGTAGGCCCTGGCAGGCCGTCTTACTTGGCGCTCAGCGTGCTCAGATGTAGGCCCTGACAGGACCTACAGCCAAGTGTCAAGTGCCTCTTATTTGGTGATTGGCGGTTGGCGCGTTTGGCTGTAGGCCCTGGCGCTTTGCCGCCAATGGGCCAAAAATATTAATTTTTTTGGAACTTGGACAAAAACGCTAATTTGGAAAGGCGCCCGTAGTGATTCTGTACAAATGCACAAGACTTTTAGACAGGAGTGATAGCATTATGGTATTATTTTACTGTGATGCTAAAACAAAGTAGATATATATAGAGAGAGTATTTTTCTTTAGATAATATTAGTTTTTATGATTGTAGAACAGCATTGATTTCCGTATACAATGAAAGGAGGAGAGCAGAGATAAAAGAGAAGATGTAATAAGGAGTAGAAAAAAATGAGAGCCCTTAAATGTAAATTTGGATGTCATATTCTGGGTTTGAATGTCCTGCAAGATACTTCCATTAAAAAATTTATAAATGAGAAATATACACCTTTATATAAAAGTAATGGTTCATGATGTGTGTGGACAGAAAAAGACTAGAAAGGAAGTGCAGCATTTCTTATTTTTGCTTTCCAGTACAATTTTTCCCCATCCGTCATCCAGTAGCAAATAATCTGGAGCAAGTTACTTTTTTGCATTCTGCTTATCAGTAAGAAGGTTGTAATAAAGTCTCATGAATCTGTTCTTTTTCTTAGGGACATACAGCAATGCTCAATTCAGGTTGCTGGCATCCCAAAATAAAGGAGGAGTTCTTGACATGCTCCAATGATGGGTGAGTGTTTTTGCAAGGCTTCTGCAGTATTTATCAGGAAGCATTTGATTTTGAATTACAGTAGAGTCTTGCTTATCTAACCTTCTCTTATCAAGCATTCTGTATTATCCAACACAATCTGCCTCCTGCCCAGATACACAGGTGAGGGCACTTGAGTGTATATTTACTTGTGGAAGAAAGAAGCAACCCTTGTCTGTTTTGGTGCTAAATTCGTAGTAATTACTACATAATGTTACAGTGTATTGAACTTCTTTTTCTGTTGATTTGTTGTAAAACACTATGTTTTGGTGCTTAATTTGTAAAACCATAACATTTATTAGGCTTTTCCTTAATCCCTCTTTATTATCCAACATTTTTCCTTATCCAATGTTCTGCTGACCCGTTTATGTTGGATAAGCAAGACTCTACTATACTCCTATTCATTTGCTTTATGAAATTTAGTATAGAATTATATAGAACTGATATCCAGATCCAACTGGCAGTATGCGCAATAGTCATTTCTTAGCTTGGAAAGCTTAGCCAGACATAACCGCCAACTACAACTTTGAGGTTTCATCTGACATATTCAGCTTAACCATAGTTTATAGCTACTTGTCTACTTTTGTTTTCTCTTCTTATGATATAGCAGTTTCTGTAAGCAGAGCAACAGCTGTAGTTAACAGTTTATCATGTCAAATTTACACCAAATCATAGTTTGAAAACTGTTTTCTGTTTCTGGTATGTTGACTGGTTACAAACAAAATACTCTTCTCCAAAATGACGTTTAACTCCCTTTTAGTTATTGTTTCAATCTCTGTCCTGAGCTGGAGAGAAATTAGAAAAAAGGTTTTAATACTTTTATTGTACAGATTGTTCTATTTCAAAACACGTGTGTTTCAGTGTACATCTTTTTTAAAAACCGAATTTATGCTTTGAAGTATACAGATGTAATTCAAAATAAATAACATATATGCATTCCAGATCTCCTTATTTCTCCTATTGTATGTGTTAACATTTCTGTTAAAACTAATACAAGTAGTGATTTCATTCAATTTATGATTCTGTTCCCAAAGACATTGAATTGCCTTTCTTAATATGAAAAGTATTTGAAACTATGCACTGTTAGGTTGTGTCTTTTACATGTTCACATGCCAAAAGTCGGGATTTAAGATGCAGCAGTCAAGTACCACACCAGACCTTTTATCGATTAACAAGAGTCATTTGTCAGTATGACAATTGGAGTGAAAACACGCATTCTTGGAAATTAGCTATACTCTACAGAGGGATCTGCCCAAGCACAGTTGGAAAAAGTATATTTTCACTTATTCTTTGGTGTGCTTATTTTTTAGTCTCTTCTAAACTGTATTTTTAAAATTTATTTATTTGGCTTTTAAACTATCAATAAAGCAGCATTTTCTGAGCAGTGTGAAATATGCATATACACTCCAGCAACAAGGAATGATGTCATGGGAACAATATAAAAATGGGACCAACAAATTTAATGGAATGATGATAATGCACATTTGTTGTGAAATGTCTGAATTGATCATGCGATGTACAACATACATCTGGGTCCCATACCATTGTTACTTATAATATGAGGGACTAGTAGGGTTCCTCCTGCCCATCCATCAGTAACCAGCATCACAGTTGTGCTCTCTCACTACAGCTTTTACTGGAAGTTCTCAAGGGAGCAACAGCTAATGGTTTAGGAATTGGCACTGATCTAGGAGCCACCACACTGAGTAACAGCGTCCCAATCACATGCAATCTGTATGTAGTGAAGTTATATGATAACATTTGTTATATGTGTGTGGATGCACAGTTCATGTGCTAGGTCCCTACACAATCTTGTATTTGATTGCTTGCATACAAAAATATGAACCTTTTTGAATTAGATAACTGATAATAATCTCCTTTGCAAATGTGTTTCTCAAATGAAAATTGGACAAAACCATCCTGTTAAATACACCTGTTTATAGAGGGACTTGGAATTTACAGTGAGAAAATGCACCTGTTTCCAGTGCAGTTTTCAGAGTTGCAGCCATATATGGGATAAATGTCTGCAATTGGTGTATTACTTTATAATAAACTTCTGACTGCACCAGTGAATTAAGCTATCAGCTGCTGTAGGCTACATTTCAAAGAACAAACTAGCTTTACTTTTATCTGTGTTTTGTTTTTTCTAGGCATTGAATGTTTGCCTTTGTGTTTGTGAATGCTGGAATCCGCCCTGATACCCTTTGAGAGATAGGGGAGATATTATTATTAATATAGTAGGACAATTTTTGAGCATTCCTTGTCTAAGAACACTATTAAATTCATGGGATTATCTTAAGTTCAGTAGGTAACTTATACACACAAACACACAAGTTAAATACTAGTAGTTCCTTCAGCGCCCCACACCAACCTTAAAGGATTCTCAACCCTAGAAGCCCTTCTAGAAGACGATGCATTGATTATAGTTTGTAAATATTTTGTCTTCCTAATTCATTCCCTTGTATTTTGTTCATTATGAATGAATCCAAGTGATGTCTAGGATGTTGTAACAACAGCAGCAGATGGGCCGTAGTTCGATCAACAGTGTATCTTCCTCTTGCATAGTGAAAAATTAACCTTCTTGCGCACTGCTGGCAGTGTACTGCATTTATATCCCTCTCTTTCCTTCACCTCCACTCTGTTAAACTTGGTGCCTTCCAGATGTGTTGGACAAAGCTTCATTTGGCCATGTTGGCTGGGAAGATAGGGTTTGTAAGTCAAATACATCTGGTAGGCTGCTCAGACTCTTAAGTAGGAACATACCATTGTAGAACTGACTATTTTAGCACCAGCTGTTGCAAGATGGTGATGTTACGTGGATTGATAGGATCAAGGCTTCTTTTTAAAACTGAGACTTAAATATGTCAAAAGTATTCACTTTTATTTTATGAATATTTGATTCATTAATTCTTCTTCCGTTTTATATTCCCATTGTATGTGATTTTTTTTTACCCATGACGAGTTTTCAACAAATGCTGTTTCATGTGCTGGCTACTGGGTGGTGCTCAAGCATTGTGAAAAAGCAACCACACTTCCCAGAGAATTAGTTTCAACTCTGCAAAGGTTTCTGGTTTCCATCAGCCTCAAGAATAGAAATCCCAAGGTTGTTCCCAAAGTCTCTATTTTTCTTGGCAGTCTGTTTTCTGAGTGGCTAATGGAAACAAATGCCTACTTACAGTGTTCCTTCAGTTAATGCATTTACTGCTTCAGCAAATTAGGCTTCAATATTATTACTGTAGTCCGTAATCTATGGGACATGACTTTTGTTCTGAAAGACACAATCCATTTCCCTTGTTTTCAAAAGCATAACTATAATTAAAATGTTTTTAAAAGGGAAACATAAGATAAATGGGAAATTAGTAATATTTAGCTAATATATTTTAAATGTCTCTTTAAATGCCAAAGGTAACCTTGAAGAATGCAGATGTGGGGTTTGTGTGTGAAGAAAAGGGGGAAGTGTATTATAAAGATTGGTAGCAACAGAAAGATTTGGAAGAACACAAGAGACACAAACTGAGCATGTGTAGTGCTTACAGAATATTGACTAAACATAGAGGAATGGAAAAAATATTCATTATAGTTTGTTTTTGTACACAAAGTATATGTTAGAACAGAACAACCTCTGGTGGCTGAGAGATGAAAGTAGTTATAGCAGTCATATTTAAACATTTCCACTAAATCTTATAATTCCAATAGCCAATCGTCTTTAGTAGGCAATAACTCATTCTGTCATTCCTGAGCATGCTGTTGTCATATGTTACAGTATTCTTCTATGAGTCCCTTTTATGTGATCATCCATTAATCCCTAAAGACATTCAGGTTTAATTGAGTATTAATTTTTAATACTTTCTGTATCAAACTATTTATTTGGACCTAATATTTTTTTAGTATTTTCACTAGTTCACAATTTCCAACATATATTTGACATTCCCTTAGGGAGTTTCTCTAGTGTCATGTATCAATTATACATCATTTTATATAAAAACAGTCCTTAAGATCATAACAAAAAGAAATTTCAAACTCCTTTCCTACATCATCTCCCAGTGTACCATTTGTATATTATATCCATGCTTCTATTGCAATGGATATCTGTATGTTTTGTTCTTAAAAAATCACAAGCCACCTTAGGGTTTGCTTTTAGTTAATAATAATAATAACAGCAGTTTATATTCTGCTTTTCTCTCAGAGTGGATTACAGCATATAAACAGACATAGGCAACCATTCAGTGTCTTGTTACAATGAAATACAATGATACACAAATACAGAGACAAAGACAAAGGCTTCTCCTTTTATTTCCGGCTCTGGAGGCGGTGCTCATTTCCAAGCCAAGAAGCCTATGTTGTCTGTAGACACGTCCTGGTTGTGTAGCCGCCATGACTGCATGGAGCGTCTTTTTGTCTTCCCGCTATTCACATTTACATGTTTTTGAGCTGCTAGGTTGGCAAGACCTAGGGCTAACAGCAGGAACACATCCACAGATTCAAACTGCCAACCTTCAGGTCAGCAGTTTAGCAGTACAAGGGTTTAACCCATTGTGCCATCACCACCCTAAATCATGTGTGGGAGCTCATCACCATAATATCTGATTGATATTATATACAGTAGAGTCTTGCTTATTTGACATAAATGGGCCAGCAGAACATCGGATAAACGAAAATGTCAGATAATACAGTCTCCTACTGTTTCCCATCTGACACAGTGCTAAACACATAGAATACTAACAACAGGGACTCAAAAGGTTAAGATAAGGCAACACTATGAGTTTTCTTGGCAAGATTTCTTCAGAGGGCCTTTGCCTTCCTTCCCAGTTTTTCTCATTGACACCTAGTCAAAATTATATATAATGAAGCAAGTTACAAATAAATACACAGAAGTCAGCTGTTTTATTAAATTGAAAAATTTCACAGATCCTTACTATTCTCATTGGAAAAGGGCTGTCTGCCACTGTTTTATTAAGCAGAACTGCATTTCCAGTAGATTT